GTTATCGTGATTAGATTATCGTGCTAAGCGTACGAAGTAATGATACAAAGATGTTGAACAAATGCGAATTGATATTAAAAAAAAATTTACGTCACTTAAGTTGAGTTAAAGTCGGTTAAATGTTGTTAACTACTCTAAGTAAATATTAGACGTTGATTAGAAATATAAATACTTGTTAAATACTATTAAATATTAATATACAATATCAATACTCGAACTAGAATATTAATTGTCATCATTGTAGTTCGAATAAATGTTTTTTTTTAGATCGCAGTCATATCAAAGAATCAACTTCAACTGGCAGCGTCTGCGTGTACGTTTATCTTTACTTGAGCCTAATTGCTCGAGATAAATAATTGGCAAAGAACTCGCCTGGTAACCAGTTTCAGCGACTGCAACACCAAACCCGAACGATTAGCCAAAGCCTCTCGAGAGCTATTCTCGTCCACAGTGGGGAATAACTTTTTTCCCCTCTTTATCCGACGAACAACAAAAGGTCAACAAACATCCAACGTGCCGTGCTCCACTTCGCTGATCGACGTTTCAATAATCAGAAAGCAAGAGCCACCTGCGTGGTACCTTCGCTAATGCTTGGAAAGTCGGGCCCCACCGTGGAAAAGCGGAACGATGATCGTCGTTGAATCGTCGAACAGCGAGGAAATGGATGCCAAAGGCGGCGGGATCGACCGCGAAAATAAACGTTCCAGTTTTAGCGTGTAACAGGTATATTGTTTGAACATTGCGCATCGAGGTCAATTAAACAAGTGGCAACGACGAGACGGGGGGGGGGGCTCCCGCGGCGCCGATGTTTCGCACTGAATCTTCTCCCCCCTCCTCCCCCTCTTCCCCCCCCCCTATACGCGTGTCGTTTGTCCGTATCATGTGTGTCAGGGTTAAGTCACGCGCACCAGAACACGGTTACGCGAATTTTCAGAGAATTACAGTAGAACAGGCGCGCGATCACGCTTATTTTAATTCGACCCTACCGTTCCCCGGTTTGATAGTTATCGAGCGCACGGAGCCGTGGGTCGTCGTTTAACATAGGAGGAAGAAAAATAGGGAATGCGAAATGGGGAGATGATCAGAGATTGCAGATTTTTATGACACTCGTATACAGCGCGTATCTTTCGTAATTTTGTAGATATAGATAGTTTCAAGATCGTCGTTCAGTTTGTACATGATTCGAGGCAAATTCATCGTTATCAACTGAATCCAGTCTATCCTATTTTTTTTTTTTTTTCCATTGATTTGATATTTCGTTCTTCCATTACACACTGCATGCGTAAATATTTGATGACTTTTTTTTTTGTAGACACAGTCGAGAGGAAAACTCGATTCATTTGAAGATCGCGTGACGATAGGTTTTTCATACAACAGCAATCTCCAAACATAGTTCCAGAACAGGCTGTTTCGAGATTGCCTTGCCTGTCAGCCATTTTAATTAAGGTCCGCCCTGTGCACGGAAAAATATTTCTCTTTGCCAGCTGTTACTCTTTACAATTCGTTACCCCAAAGAGTGGAAACATTAAACTTCGCCAGAACACGTCGTTCTCTTTTTCTTTCCCAGGAAGAACCACAGTCGAATAATTACAGTTGAACTTGATGTTTACAAGACAATCGAATCCGAACGTTCGTCAAGTGCCAATTCTTAACCATTTCCGTGTAATTTCTTCAAGCGAATTTTATTTCACATTTTTGATTCATTTCCACGTCAAGGGTAGGATCACGACGCTTTCTCAATTTGTCTGCTGTACTTACGTGCCTGGGAAATTAAATTTCCTTAAACTCATCGTACACTTGGAACGTGGAAACACGTCGATCGGTCCACATACTTCGACAAGGTATCGCTGACAAATCGTGTGTCAACCGTGAGAACACACCAGCTACAATTCCCCTTTCCAGTCGATCTACGACGCCCATTCGATCGAAACCGTAAACGTTTACGACACCGCGCTATTCACAGCGCGAGATTCTGATGGCTCGACACCTGGCTTCGATCTCTCGTCTCCTCGTAATCGGTCAAGCCTGTTCAAAGCGAAAGTGACCCAGTTTTCGAGATCACAATTTCGAGATCGCGCCACGTCAAAGCCGTTTGCACTCCGATTCCATTTAACGCGCGATGCATTCTGTCCTGCATTGCAAATTGCCAACGATAATACGATCGAGAGCTCCATCGAGATCTGTCGAGTCTCTTCTTTTTTCTATCTCACTCTCTCTCTCTCTCTCTCCCCTTTCTATTATTTTTTCATCTCAACACTCGTGGACTTCGAGCGATTCGAACGAACACTCGGTTCGGATGGAAAATGATAAAGACCACTACGTGACCAGTCATCGATGTCAGAGGATATTCTTCTTCCTCGAATCGACATCGCGTTGACAAAGATCCGATTCTTTCGCGCCAATTCTTAAATTTTCGTTAAACGCTCTTCTTCTTCGATATTTCGTGGCAGATAGAAGCTTCGAACTCGAGGTTTCTCCGTTTTCTTTCTGAAACGTAGGGTCTTCATCTCGAAATTGGGATAATAAAAATTTCGCATACGCGACTGTTGAACGAAAATCAATGCAACTTTCAATCTCTGCTGTACAGTGTATTATGATTGTCAGTGTTTCGTTAGAGATATTCCGCTACTTCGGTGTTGATTAAAACAAATAATCATACACTTTGAAAGATTTATATACACCGGGGGAAAACCTCGTATGAATTCCAACGGAATTTCTCGAATCCTCTGTTGATAATCATAAATGTGATAGTAAAATTTATGAAGTAAAATGTGCTGAATTAATATCAATTACGTATATTAAATATAACTGTTTCTTGAGTGAGAGGGGATGTTTAACACGGAGACCCTTTTCCTGTACTTCCAGTGCTCGTAAGAACGAATTTAGTTTCCGTAAAAGCAAATAGATCTTCTTGGGAAACTGTCCAAGGTTACAAGGCGCTTGGGACCGAGCTACATTTCGTTCAGAATTCGTCGCACCGAACCCATGTCTTAGACCTAGGCTACATAAATTCTGACCTTCTTTCCGCGTAACAGTTCCCACTGCCCGAAATAGCTGAAATATAACGCACATTTATTACGTATTACAGATGAAAACTGTTCGAAGAATATTTCTAATCCCCGTAATCGATGAGAGATATCTACGCTCCATGTATCTTAGATTCTTCTTAATTATCTTTAACAAAAGTTCAGAGCGCTGCTCGTCCCTTCGAACGAAAAATAAACCTCCTCCGTGCATTTCTCTGAGAAACAAAAATATTGCTCGAAACGATCATCCTGCATCCTCGAGCATTCTGGTGTCATAAAAATATCATCTGTGTAATATAGTTGTAATATGCGATGCCTAAGTACCATCGTAAGTGCCATTAATTCGTCTTAAACAATTCGGGAACAAATCGAATCTGATTGGCTGTAGCTAGCTTCTGATTTTCATATAAAAGAGAGGCAAAGATAAACACTTTTCGACACTCTTCAAGAATCCTTGGATTTTCACTCTTCGTCAAATATTAATAAAATAAACATACTTGGTGATGCTTCAATTTTATTATTATCCTCTTTTTTAATCGACAAGTTCACTTTAAGAATCCTTGGATTCTCACTCTTCGTCAAATCTTAATAAAATAAAAATACTTGATGTTTCAATTTTTATTATTATCCTCTTTTTGAATCGACATGTTCACTGTTTGGTAAAATCGTCGAATTATGCCTGACTCTCGACTATTTCAATGCGATTACAGTGAATCGTGCTCAATCTCAACGTTGAACGCGACTCAACAATAGTTATAATTTTGCCTCTTAAATTAACTGAAACTTTCGTACCATAAGGAAACCATTAT